GCACGGCAACATGTTGCTAGGAGCATTATTTGGAGATGGGTATGTATGTGGCCCAAGCCAAATGGAGTAGCAGGTTTCAAAGCTGTTCCGTTTGCCTGCCTCAGAGTCACTCATCTTTCTTCACCCTCGTCAGCCCAGTAGGCAAGAAACGGGACTTCCACTGGGCACTGGCGATGCCCGCCTTCAATGTGAGCACATCTACCCCTGTGAGTTAGAGGCTAGCTGGATTACATCGTGTTTCACAAGAGTATCCAGGTGTAGTGGCAAGCATCTGTAATCCCAGGGTGGCCTCAAACTTGCAATCCCCCTGCCTCAACTTTCACTTTAAAGAAATTATTCCTGAAAGCCTTATTCACCTTGTGTCATTCAGTTTAAGCGTTGACAGCACAGATGACAATGTAATTTCCTAGGCCCTGGCTTTTTAAGGAAATGCCATAAGTAGACCAAAGTAGGAGATTCCTAGGGTCTCTCCCACATCTGCATGGCTTTCCTGATCTGAATCATCCACCAGAGAAGATTCTGGATTATCTATCTCTCTGGCTAATTCAGAGCAGGTTCTAGGGGACTGGCTGCAGGTAGGTGAGTGTTTTACCTTCCTAGATTGGGAACTTCCCCAGCTACAAAAGCCAGCTTTTCTACACGTGTTCCATGCATGCTTCTCGATGCTTTTGCTGCCAAGCCAGGAAGGCTGCCGTGTCTAGGGTGATTAGCTCTGCCCGCAGCACCAGTGTTTTTAGGAGTGTTCATTTCTAAGAGTAGCACTAACATTCTGAGGTTGATCTGGTTCTGTTTACTCCCCTCAACCCTGTTCAGCCGCTTACATCTCCTGTTCCACAAACATAACAAATTTTGGGTTTTGCACTCTGCTTCCTCAGCTTTGTTTCAAGGCCCAACCCAAATGGCTCAATTCCATCACCTCCCTGTCTCAGCTAATTGGAACCCTCCAACTCTGCCGTGGCTGTTTCCCCTCCTTGTGAGCTCTTGATCCAGTCCATAATCACATCGTGGTACCTAGTGTTTGTTTCCCTTTAAAAAGTTCAAGACCCACATGCAATGCAATTTTCTATCACATGCCCTTCAAGCAGGGCCACACAATTTTTTTTTTTTTCTGAATCGGTCTTCCTTACAGTCCTACTGCTCCAGCCTTCCAGAATGCTCAGAGGGCTTCATCCCTGCCCCCCCCCCCCCCAGCTCATCCTTGGACGACGCCCCCGAGCCTGCTCATTGGCCATTTGCTTCCCACCATGATGTTGCCTGCCACGGAGCCATAGTGCCCTTTCTCTGGGTCCTCATCATCATTCCTGTCAGCAGTTGCCTCCTGTGACACGGTCTGTGGTTTAAAGGAAGACTGATTTGTGTGTGCATGCGGCTGTGCCTGAGAGTGGTGCCCACGGAGGCCAGAGTGTGTGGTCCTCTTGTAGCTGGAGTTCCAGGCCACCTCAATCTTCTGCAAGAACAGCAAGTTCTCTTCCAGCCTCCTACAGGCAAGTTTTTAAAATTCACAAAGCTCTCTGTAAAATAGATTATCTCTGTTATCCCCACCTTACAGATAAGGAATCTCAAGTTCAGCAAGGTTGAATGTTGCCCTTGGTACACACAGCTAGAATTGTTGGGTTTAGAATTTAAATGCATCACAACTCTCATAAACTGACCTTGGCAGGAACCCTGGTGGGAGGCCGTGGCCCACAAAAACGTGGAGATAACCAAAAATCACTCATCAATTTAAAATGCAAAAGACAGACCTTAGCCCAAGACAGGCAAGACTCCTAGAACAAGGTTTTTTCCTGGCCAGGACCACAGTGCTTCCCCACTATATGTGATTTAAAAATGGAGGGGATTGAAGAGATGGCTCAACAATTGCTATCCCAGAAGATCTGGGTTCAATTCTCAGCACTCACTTGGCAGCTCACAACCATTTGTAACTACAGTTGCAGGGGTCCAATGCTTCCTTGGGCACAACACCCATTCATATTAAATAAAAACAAGAGACTGTAACTAATGGCTTAAAGGCAACATCTATTAGGCTTATGTGTTGAAACCAGAATTCTTTGGAAGTTAATGAAAATCTCCAAATAGTGGAGTCTTCAGGTGTTTGCATGAGGCTTGGACACACTCTCACTACCAAGATCAGAAAGTCAAAAAAGTGCAAAAGCAGGTCTCATGAGCAATTTCCATTTATTTGCTGATAACTGTAGTCAAACACACTTCAAACACAGCCGAAGCTAGAGTCTGTTCGTAGGATGGAGCCATTGCTTGCCAATATACGGGTGGTCCATGAAGAGTATCTTCAAACTCATCCTCAGGCTGAGGCCCAGCTCCAGGTGAGCAGCTGACAGGTGGAACCGTTCCTTCCTCAGGGGCAAGGGCTTATTCCTTGTTCTCATAATTGTGCTTTATGTGCTTCCACAGCTTCTGCATTTAAAACACAACAGCTGATTATAACCTTGCCCTCACACTTTACAACCTACTTTCATTGTCCGAAGTAAAGAATATTGAGAAATCAGCGTCAAATTCTGATTAAAAATGTACAGTAGTGCTGGGCGGTGGCGGCACACACCTTTAATCCTAGCACTTGGGAGGCAGAGGCAGGCAGACCTCTGAATTCAAAGCTAGCCAGACCTATACAGAGAAGCCCTGTCTCGAAAAACCAAAACCAAAATGAAAAGCAAAACACTCAACCTTCATTAAGTGGAAAGAGAAAATTGGACTTCCACATGAAATTAAGGCAGATTGAAAGAATGGTCCCAAACCAGAGCCACAGATGTCTGGGCTCAGGACATTTCACTGAGCCACTTTTTATTTCCTTAGACCTGAGCTGGCTACAGTTCTCCCTCCTAAAAGCATGGAAATGGGTGGGTTCTAACAACGTACTTAAGATACCTTTAGCTATCTGTGAGCATTCACGATCAATGGAAATGCTTACAAAGGTCGGAGCGGCAACACTTTTGTATGGGCAGGAAGCTACCCATGCCACTGGCAACATGGCAACTAGTGGACTGGGTCTTGAAAACCAGTTGCTGGGTGGTGGTGAGGCACAGTTTTAATCCAAGCACTTGGGAGGCAGAGGCAGGTAGATCTCTGTGAGGTCGAGGTTACAGAGTGAGTTCCAGGACAGCCAGGGCTACACAGAGAAACCCTGTCTCAAAAGAAAAGCAAATGAAGGAGCTGGAGAGATGGCTCAGTGGTTAAGAATACCGGCTGCTCTTCCAGAACTCAGGATCAGTTCCCAGCACCCATGCTGTGGCTCACAACCATCTCCATCTGTAACTGCAGTCCCAGCGGATCCAACACCCTCTTCTGACCTCCCTCGGGGAGGAGAGGGAGAGAGAGAGAGAGAGAGAGAGAGAGAGAGAGAGAGAGAGAGAGAGAGAGGACAGAAACCGGCGCAGAGTGGAGAACAGACTGGCCATCTGGACCAGCCTTTCCCAGTACAGCCACAGCCTCATGACATAAAATACACACAAGTACCTGCAACGGTTAAGTGAAAAAAGGCTTGCCATTTCCTACTTTATGTGCCCACGTTCTCTAAGACACACGGTGGATGCTATCTTTCAGTGTATCCTAACGGTGGCACCTCATCTGTATCCCAGGAGGTAATTACTACTATGATCTTCACTTAATGCCACCGTTAACCGGAAAGTTCCAGTATTCCCAGCCAGGACATGAGATTTTATCACCTCCACTTTTGTTTTAGTCAAAAGAAAAGTTGCCTGCATGGGAGGCCTTGGGAACTGAAACATACATCAATTTTATAAGCCACACAGTCTACGGAGACATACTTTTAACGACTGTCCTGCTGCCCTTGACACCACCCATGGAGGCAGAGGTCGGGGTTCCAACTCACTTGCCACCGTAGTACGGACCTTTAAAGTCTCAGGCATTAGCTTTTGCAAATGAGCATGTGGGAAGTGTGGCAGGACATACCGATACTCCCAACCCCTGCAATGTGGGGTCAGTGTGAGGCCCGGGACTCATACCAGGTCAAGAGAACTGAAAGTAAAGTCTCAAGACAATGGACATACTTCACCCCGGTCCTGGTAAGGCAAGACTTGACTTTCGTCCTCCCTCCTTCCCAGTCACCCCTCAGGCGGGCCCAAGGTCAGGGTGGCACAGGCCCTCACCCCCTCGTTGATGTGCTCGTAGACCGCGTCTGCGCCCTGGTCGAAAGCGCGCTCGAAGAAAAGGGCGCCCACTGCGATGGTTAGGGCGAAGGTGGAAGTCCTGCGGAACAGCAGGGAGTACAGACGTGAAGCGATTGTCGGCGCCATGTTGCCTCGCTACTGAACTGGCACCACTGAGCCTTCGTAGAGACCCTTCTCGCTACACCCAACGCGCACTGCTTTATGGGAAATGGAGTTCCTCCTCTGTATCTTGGCGTTGATATTTTAGATTACACAGAAACTAATAGCTTGTAGAGAGTACAGATTCTTACGCTGTTTATATTCACACAGCTAACGCTTGATAAAATTTATTTTCAAGTATTTCTAGTCAATTATGTCTTGCTGTAGGAATATTTTAAACTACAACTCCCAAAAGCCCTTTGGCTTCCCATCTTTCCCCGCGCTATCTTGCCTTAGTGTTCTGTCTTCGCGTACACCTTATGAAGGACTACGAATCCCATCGAGCAGAGCGCGACTGGCGAACACAAGAGGAGGAGCCCGGAGCCGTCCAGCCACGGAGCCAGGTAGGTATCTTTGGCCAGACGTCCCGGGCTGAGTTCTAGGCTGCTTCTCTCCCCAGACTATTTAGCTCTTCGTTCTGAATCCTCGCTATCAGCATTTTCTGGCATAGAGAGTGGCTAGAGAGGCGAGGGGACCTGAACTTCCGTGGCTTCATCTCGCCCCCGAGCCTCGTCTTCTAGGAACCTACTCCAGGTGTAGGTTTGGAGGTGGCAAAAGTCGGGCCCTAGAAGTTTAACCCTTAGCCACGCCTCAGGAGAAAAAGGTGGCTTTGCCTTTGCCTCCTGTCCTCCAGCTCGTAGGCTTTGAAGCCAAGAACGCTGGCCTCGAAGGCGGGCGACCTGGTTGTAAAAGGCACCGTACAAATGCTTTTCTGAGGACCCCCTTCCCGGTCTTGAACTGGTCCCCAGCAGATGAATGGTCCCAGCTCGGGCTATTGTGTATGGGTAATGGAGAGGCCCAGCGCTTCTGGAGACTAGGACTTTGTAGAAGAGAAAGCTGAATGCTTGGACAGGTTGGTGGTGCTCTTTAAGCCTGGGTAGCCACTTAACGGAGGACTGGCTATGTAGTAACAGCGTAAATAGGATTATGTTTGTGTGAAGTTTTAGAGGCAGTCGCAGTGCCGGGGTGCTTGACAAAGTGTGGAGTGGACTCTGAATAGGTGGCCTGAGGTCTGTTCTTGTCTGGCCATGTAACCCGTGGTAAGGAGTCGCTTCTTTTTTTCCTAATTGCACTAGGGAGTCACTGAAGGGCTTTAAAGTGGAATGTGACAAGATCTAATTTACATTTTAATGTAATCTTTCTGGCTCCTTGGTAGAAAATAGACTGAAGAGGGGAAATTATAGAGGAAGGTGATTTAGAGTGGAGTGGACTAGAATAATCTTTAGATTTGAGTTGCATTTTGGGAGGTGGGGTAGACCGAGCAAGTTAGCAAAGGTGTGTAAAAAAGAGGAATTAAAAGTCGGGCTCGATTGTGCAGGCCTTTAGTTCAAGCACTCCAGAGAGGCAGGTGGGTCTCTGAGTTCAAGGCCAGCCAGGCTACATTGACAAATCCCATCCTGAGAAACACCCTCTTCCCTCCAAAAGGAAGAATTAACATCTAGGGTAAATCAAAGTTTGACCTCAGGGACTAAATGGTTTTTGTTTGACTGTTTTGAGACAAATTTTAACACTCCATCTGGCTGGCCTGGAACCAGCTATATAGACTAGCCTGACTCTGTCTCTGGAAGGCTGAAATTATAGACCTGCACAACCATGCCTGGCCTGTAAACAGTATGTGTGTTGAAAGTTTATTTTTTGTTACGGTAAACTATGCATATGTGTAAGGTGGGTGGAGGGGTCAGTATGCCCTCCTGGGTGGCAGTGCCCACAGAATCCAGGAGAAGGTATTGGATCCCCTGGAACTGGAGTTAGAGGTGGTTTGTGATCTATCCTATGTAGGTGCCAGTACCAAACTTGGGTCCTCTGTTAGAGCGGCACATGCTCTCCAGCTCTATAAATCACGTTTCATATGAGCGGTCTCTTAGATATGAAGCGGAAGCATCTAGGGCCAATGGGGCTGTGATTCTGAAGATTAGAGGGCTGGACTGGGACTGGGATAGAGCATGAAGGCTGGCCGGGACTATAGTCCCGACACTTGGGAGGTGGTGGCAGGAGGAGCAGAAATTCAAAGTTAACCTTGGCTGCAGGGACTGCATTATAGACTCCTAGATTAAACCAAGGACTGACCTCTGGCATAGCTCTCCTGACCCTTGTGACCTAGGTTAGTCCTGATTATCTACCTATTCATGTAAACTGTAGAGAGCAACAGTAAAGTCTGGTTAGGAACTAGAAGGGATGAGCTCCTCTCAGTGTGGATATTGTTGCAAAGCATCCTGGTAATTAATGTCTGGCAGGAAGTTGTGAGCCTGCAGGGAAAGGCTGCTTAGGGTTTGCTGATCACCTGCAAGAGACCTACAGCACACTTGGCTGAGTACAAGTTCAGAGGACAGGGAATCACTTTTACGTGGGATGAGTGCGATGGGTACAAGGAGTTAAAAGTGTGGCTCGTTTTATTTTATTTAATTTTTCTTAGTGTCATTTTTTTGGGGGGGTCTGATTATATTTTTATTAAAAACACATGTGAATCTTATAATTGAAAAAAAGCTTTTACAAAAAATTCTACTAGAAAAACTAAAAGAAGTGGCAGACACGCTCCCTCCTCCCCAGAGTCTGGCTAACTGGGGAGAGACTGCTGATAGCAGCCTTGCCTGTTTGTGTCATGGGCTGGATTTTGGGAGACTTACAATATAATCCTCCTGCCAGGCATCTGACATCATATTTATTAGCTTACTTCCCACGTTCTCTTCTAGAAGGTTCAGTGTGGCTGGCTTTATGTTGAGGTCTTTGATCCATTTGGACTTGAGTTTTGTGCATGGTGATAGATACGGGTCTATTTTCATTCTTCTACATGTTGATATCCAGTTATGCCAGCACCACTTGTTAAATATGCTTTCTTTTTTCCATTTGATATGTTTTGCTTCTTTATCAAAGATCAGGTGTTTGAAGATGTGTGGATTGATATCCGGGTCTTCTATTTGGTTCCATTGGTCCTCCTGACTGTTCGTATGCCAATCCTAGTGTCATTTTTAAACAGTTATTATTTTTATCTTACATGTGTGAGTGTTTTGCCTGAATGTATGTATGTTTGTGCTCCACATTTGTGCCTTGGATCCCCAGAATGGGATCATGGATAGTTGTGAGGTGCCGTGTGGGTACTGGAGACTGAATCCAGGTCTTCTGCAAGAGAAACAAGTGCTTTAACCACTGAGCCATCAGTCAAGCCACCTCCTTCTCCTCATTATTAATATTATTACTATTATTTATTATTATGGGAGACAGGGTTTCTCTGTGTAGCGTCCTGGAACTCACTCTGAAGACCAGGCTGGCTTTAAACTTACAGAAATCTGCCTGTCTCTGCCTCCTGAGTCCTGGGATTGAACAAATGTGCCACTATGTCCAGCCTTAATTTTATTCTCATGTTTTAGGGGACTGGAGAGATGGCTCAGTGGTTAAAAGCACTGGTTGCTCTTCCAGAGGACTTGGGCTCAGTTCTCAACATCCACATCCATATGGCTGTCTGTAACCTCAGTTCCAGGCAGGCAACATGACACCCCACTCAGACATAAACAACAGTAACCATAAAGTAAAATTTAAAAAAAAATAAAGTAAAACATTTAATTTTTTTTTAGTAACATGCTTAAATGCTGGGGTGGTGGCACATCCCTTTAATCCCAGGAATTAGGAGGTAGAAGAGGCAGATCTCTGTAAACTTGAGGCCAGCCTGAGCAATATAGCAAGTTCTAGGCCAACCAGGACTACATAGTAAGATCCTGTCTTGATTTTTAGCTGCCTGTTCTATAAAGAAAGTTCCAGGACAGCAAGTTCTACACAGGGAAACCCTGTCTCGAAAAACAAAACAAACAAACAAAACAATCTTTTCTATACAAGTTTTCTCTGGAACTTACTCTGTAGACCAGGCTGGCCTGTATTCAGAGATCTGCCTACCTCTACCTCCCAAATGTTGGGATTAAAGACGTGCGTCACCAGCCAGGCGGTAGTGGCGCACGCCTTTAATCCCAGCACTCGGGAGGCAGAGGCAGGCTGATCTCTGGGAGTTCGAGGCCAGCCTGGTCTACGAGAGCTAGTTCCAGGACAGGAACCAAAATGCTACGGAGAAACCCTGTCTCGAAAATCCAAAATAAATAAATAAATAAATAAATAAATACGTGCGCCACCACAGCCCAGCAAAAAAAAAATTTTTTTTAAAGTTTTTAATGTAATTGCTGAGCCAGGCATAGTGATGCTTACCTGTAATCCCAGCAGTCTGGGAGAAGAAGGCAGAAATATTGAAAATTTGAGACCAGCCCTAGACTATGAAGTGAGACTGTCTCAGTGGGCGAAAAAAATTCTTCAGTGCTCTACACAAAAACTTAGGGAAATAAGAAAAACGACCTTGACGTTTTTTTGATTAATGTTTGAACTCAGCTTGAACAAACTGAATTCCTCTAGACACTCAGCCCTCCTTTCAGCTTAATTACATCCCCTTGAACATGGAACTCCATTCATGATTTTAATATATTTGATTTTCTTTTTAGTACTTGGGATGCATAACCTAACAAGCTCAATTTCCCCAAGGATACTTAGTTACTAGCAAATTTAATTAATTAAGTTTATACTGAATTTAGATTTCTTACAAACAATTCAGTAGTTTTTAGAATTGCTTGTGCTAGGGATGGACTTCATAAACACATTTCCACACAAACTCATTATGTACTCTGGCCCTTTCCGATTATTCCCAAACATTCCCACACATAGTTTTGCTTCTACTTTCGTATCTTATATGCATTTGTGATTTTTATGTATCTGTATAAAATCCAGGATCTACAGATGGAATATGATAATTGTTTTTCTGAGTCTGACTCACTTCCCTTAATATGATGTTCTCCAGTTCATCCATTTTCCGTAAATGACATGATTTTGTTCCTTGTGGTTAGGTGCAATTCCATTGTATATATGTCCCATTTCCTTAATCATTTGTCTGTTGATGGACACCTAGGCTGACCCCAGAGTGTGGCTATGAACATGTGCAGGTGTCTGTGCTGTGTTGATCTGAGGCCTTCAGATATTACCCAAGGGTGGCCTGGCTGAGTGTATGCTAACTGTATGTTCGCTTTCTGAGGAGCCGTTGTACTGATTTCCACCGTGGTGCTGACAAACACCACACACCAGCAGTGCACAGGAAGGGTCCGCTCCCGAAGTACCCTCGCCAGCATTTGTCTTCCCCATTCTGAAGGGGTGAGATGGAGCTGGGAAGCATTTCTGTTGCTTTGAGAAAGGGTCTCTTCTCTGTGGGGGCGAGCTGACCCGGAACTCCCTGGGTAGACCAAATTGGCCTTGAACTCACAGTGACCCATCCACCTTGCTCAACCTCCCTGAGTGCTGGAATCAAAAGCATGCACCACCACACCCAGCTTACTATTTTTTAATTGAATTTTTTATATACTATGTATGTGTATATATGTTGTTGTTGCTGTTTTGTTTTTTTGAGATAGGGCTTCTCTGTGTGGCCCTGGCTGTTCTTTCTTTCTCTCTCTTTCTAGTTCAGTACTTTTTAAAAACTTAGAACAGTGACAACAAAATTACAGGCTCTGGAGCTGGGGATTTGTCGTGATATTTCATTTATATTTTAATAAGTAAAGCTTGCCTGAAGTTCAGAGAGTAAAACAGCTGCACTGGTCAGCCTTACAGACCAGGCAGTGGTAACACACATCTTTAATCCCAGTAGCCACACTAGTTTGCCATAGAAATCCCAGCCCTAGAGAGAATTATAAAATGGGAGGAGACAGCTCTCAGTCTCAGTCTTATTCTGAGATTCCTAGAGGCAGGATCACCATTTTTGGACTGAGGTAGAGGTAAGAGCCAGTGGCTGGCTGCTTTGCTTTTCTGGTCTTCAGGTTGAACCCAATATCTGTC